GACCGGAAGAAGACTCCGGAGACTGCGGTGCAGACTCCTGGTCAGAAGTCTGGGGTCCGGGCACTGGTGGTAAGCCTCGTGAGCCCAGAGGAGACTGCGAATACTGATGAGGTCCGGAGAGCAGTGGAGGAGTAAACAAATAAGGAAACCAAGGGCGCAATAGTCATTTCGTAACACGACGGTCACGTCCGCACATCCAAAGCAAGTATAGGCAGATATTGGAGACTGACAGTAGTCTACCAGGATTGACAATATACTCGTGGGACTTACTGTAGACCCTTGGGACTAGCGGTGGACTCTTGGAAGGTTGCTGAAGGTTGTTGGATTCGATGAAGGAAGGTTGTTGAGACCAACGGCATAAAATCGGGACTGACGATGGACTCATGCGACTGGTAGACTTGTGAAGCTACCGGTAAATTACTGGGACTGACGATAGACTCATGTGATTGACGGTAGGCTCGTGGGGCTGACGGTAGACTTTTGAAGCTCACGGTAGACTGCTTGGACCGGTAGCAGACTTATAGAGCTGGCGTCAGATTCTTAGGGTTGACTGTAGTACTTTAAGACTAGTGGTACTTGTGGAACTGGTGGTAGACTCCTGCAACTGGCGGTAGACCTATAGAACTAGTAGTTGACTAATGGGACTGGCGGTAGGCCTTGGCATTGGCGGTAAACTCATGGAACTGGCAGTAGACTCATGGGACTGGCGGTAGACTCGTGGGACTGTCGGTAGATCCCCTGAACTAGTGGTAGACTTTCTTATACTGAAGATAGACGTCCGAAACCGGCATACGTGTTTTTGAACGCATGGCGGGCTAACAACGTGCGTGGGCTTGTGTACCTGGATTGGCGGCGAAGGTCGAACGTTTTTTTAACAATGTCCAATAGTGAACCCTGGAGATGGGCGACATGATCTCAAGACTGATTCCAGATCATTCAGATCTATGATTGATCCCAGCTGCTAACCGCACGTCTGCATGATCAACATCGAAATATACCGGATGGTGACACTCCTAAATGAAACGGCACGCGACGGAGGCCTGCCAGATCGGTGACATCCAGCGAAACGCTGTAAACAGCCGCTGCTGGCGAATGGTTGACCCTGGACTTGAGACGACAGACGACTGCAGAGCGTCGAGCGGCAGCACACTCTGGTGAGTCAACATCAACATCCCAGAAAAGAAAATCCCGATGAGTAATCCCCCCCCCCCTCATGATCTACGGGCCGCTTCCAGCGGTCGGCTCCCCCAGCCCATGATGAACGACACGGCCTGACCCGCACAGAACGGGTTTCTGGTGACCGGACGCCGCGCACGCTTGCCCGCGCCGCGTCGGCCGTGTCGAACGCAGCAAACGAGGACTCCTTTTCAGGCCGTCAGAAAATCAGGCAGCCCCCGGGGAGAGCCTGATCACGCACGGCCGGCTACCATCGCAACGTGATCGGGCACAGCCGGCTGCCATCGCAATGTGATCGGGTACGGCCAGCTGCCATCGCAACGTGATCGGGCACGGCCAGCTGCCATCGCAATGTGATCGGGCACGGCCAGCTGCCATCGCAATGCGACTGATACTTTACCGAGAGAGCCTGATCGGGCACGGCCGGCAGCCATCCTAATGGGACAGGTGCTTCATCTAGCTCCGTAAGAAGCCATATTTGGGGCCAGGTGGCCAGGCTATCAGGAAAGAGGGCCCATGTTTTATCATATTTCAAGTTGTTGCTAATGTTTCGTACGAATCTATTACTCGGGCAACTCGATTCATGACGGATTCGTCTCGGAAACTTTTCACTCGTGGTAAAGCCCAGTTCAGTCTGGCTTAACCATCCATTGTCCAACAAGCGCCACAGCGGAGGGCTGGCGGAACGAAAACTCGCTGCTCTCCAATGCGGGACTTCCTAAAAAGCAGACCCAAAACAATCCAGCCGGAGATATTCAAGCTCAACGTTTCGCGGTGAGTATGCTGTTCAGTAGCTACTGCGCTACTTGCTACCTATTTTCGATAACTGTTAGGCACTTTACGCTATGTCAGTGAGGGAATTACTAACGCTACCTATTTCGATAACTGTTATAGAGCTATGTCAGTGAGGGAAGTACTAACTAGTGCGGCATTAGGGAGGGCAGCATTCATCTATGAAATCCCAGGGCCCTGCTCGTTCACAAGCTCCACGAATGAATGCTAATGCAATAAACGCGACTGCGTGCTATATTTGCGACGAAAAACAGGATTACGAGAGGTGCGAACATAGTACATTAATACCATAGGTAATACCCACCAATACGAGACAGATTTATTGCCATACGGCTATTCCAAACATATATTTACAATGAGAGGCGTTGGATCATAGATAACCGATATTGGATTACTGGGACCTGGCCGAGACAATAATGCTCAGGCTATTTACATGGCCTCCGCCGCCTAATCTACCCCCCATAGCCCCCATCGTAAATCGATCGGCCCTGCGCCCGTTTGTTCAGCGGCTAACGTTGGGACAACGACGGCATGTCGCCTGTACCGCCAGCTGTCGGAAACAGCGCGTCTCAGTCCCGCCGGCCGCCCGAAAGTCATGCGGACGGTAGTGTCGGCACGTTGGGGCAACGACGGCATGTCGCCTGTACCGCCAGCTGTCGGAAACAGCGCGTCTCACTCCCGCCGGCCGCCCGAAAGTCATGCGGACGGTAGTGTCGGCACGTTGGGACAACGGCAGCATGTCGCCTGTACCGCCAGCTGTCGGAAACAGCGCGTCTCACTCCCGCCCGCCACCCGAAAGTCATGCGGACGGTAGTGTCGGCGGAGGGGTAGCACTTAAGTGCGGCTGTGTATGATCCGGTTTCCGTGATGACGCATGTGGTGCGGCTTCCGGACGTGGCGCAGTGGGCCTGCAGCAGGATGGTGGAGGGCCCTCGAGTTTACCAGAGTGCGCGCGTCTAGCATGACAAGCGCTGCATTAGACACCTTTCCCGTCGGCCAATTAAGCTAAACTCAACAGCAAACTACCATAGCAGCACGCGACCATCGGCATACTGATGGCTGAGCATTAACAAGCGCACCGACAGTGTACTAAGTCGCCAATCAGGTACGATTAGGTGACGTATACCGAGTCCAAAGAAGCCGTAGTCGGCATCGCTAAGGGTATGCACGTTAGTAATTATTCGCGATTTCATGGAAAAAATGCGGCTGTACTTGAGGGCTAACATAAGACTTTCGGTTTGTTCGACACGTTCGCCCACACTTCGCCCGCTGACCAGCAAACTTCGGCGAGTCCGTAGATTGATTCAAACAGGCCCAGCCGTGACCACCTGAGCGTGACCCGGCAGCCAATCGATGGGTTGCACAATACCGTCTCGGTTGCGCTGCCACTGACCGCCGCCTCGTCATCGATCCGGCCGTCACTGCGTCACGCCCGGCGCCAGCACACAACCCGTCACTGCGCCCCAGCAACCCACCGCGAGCCACGCGCCCGGCGCCGCCGCCACAATCGACGGTAGTCTGAACATTCGCGGCGCGCGGGACGATCCCGGCGCGCGGGGCAAACGCGGCGCGTGGCGCAGCAGGTGGCGCGAACGCGCCGCGGCCGGGCGCAATTAGAAAGCAGTCGTCTCAGGCCGCCGCGTCGTTCTGCAATTAGAGGCCATCAGCACTGACACCGGCCGGGGCGGCGGCCGGGAACGGGGCGCGCCGTTATGGCGGCGGTTCGGGCCGAAAACCGCAGGACAGTGTCACGCGCCATGGATAACCCGTGCCTTATGAAGGCGCGGATGAGCTCCCTAGCGCTCCCTGGAGCAACCGGGGCGAAGATAAAGGAGCGCCCCCCCCCCCCCCCCTGCTTGCCCCGTGCACGTGTCGGCAGGTTGTATGCGCGCTCATTGTGCATTGTGCGTGTCAGGTGGCCCCCTGGTAGGGTCAGCCTCGGGTGCAGCTGTCAGGATCCGAACACGTGCTGTCAGTGGCGACTGGCGGCGTCCGGCCCCTCCCCCTCCCTTCCTGCCGAGATGCGGTTCGACGTTAGGGGCGCGTCGAACAATATGGTCATTTCACGCTCCTGACGGGGTCCGACTGTGTCGTTTCCTTCCCGGCTGGCTAAAGGTTGGGTCTCTTGGAGATGATGTGGATCATGAATCATTATCATGATCATGATTATGGACCAACACGGATTATGAACCATGATGGATCATGGATTATGGATCATGGAGTATGGATCATGATGGACCATGGATCATGATGAATCGTGAATCATGATGGACCAATGATAATGACGGATCATGGATCATACCAGACCATGGATCGCAGATCATGATGGATCACGGATCATGACGGATTATGGACATCATGGATCATGTATCAGTATGGATTAAGGAGCGACTGAAGTGAATATGCAGTGATTGAAAACGCAGATTTTTGTCTTCTACTTTTGCCAAACCGCGCAACACGACTACGGCAAATGCGTTCGACCCTACGATACAGTGAAGTTTACCACCCTCAAACGCCGTCGCGAAATTGATGCAAATGATGGATCTAAGTACACTTAATTGTCTCCAAATATCCCTTAATTATCAGGGGTTGATTACCGAAGCTCCGGCCTGTGGAGTCCGTTATTACATACATAACATCTACTTTACAGCATGCGATAACCGAACCCAGGCAGTGAACCAACAACGAATGCACTACTGCAAAAGCCTTTTTAAGCAGCATTGATCGGGATCAACAGGACCCAGCCATAGGCAGCATCGCGGCCAGCTGGCGGGTCTCTTCCACTCAAGCAGACGCTCAGGGGAGCAGGCCACGTCAGGCCGCGGGAATCACACGCCACCCTTCGCCGCCACCACTGGCACTAGCGTGCCCGCCACATCAGCACCACCGGCACCAGCGTGCCCGTCACGTCCGCAGCACCGGCACCAGCGTGCCAGTCCCGTCCGCACCACCGGCACCAGCGTGCCCGTCACGTCCGCACAACCGACACCAAAACGCCAATCACGTCGGCACCACCGGCACCAGCGCACCCGTCACGTCAGCACCACCGGCACCAGCGCGTCCGTCAGCGGCCAGCCGTGTCGGCAGCAGTCGCTGGTGACGGGAGCCAGCAGACGGTCTCCAGAGCCGCTCCCCGAAGACGCCGCTGGGGGCGCGGCCCGGCCGTCTGGCCGCTCCTAATGAGCTCTGCTGGGTTTGGTCGGGCCTGTCATGGCCCGGCCCGGCCTGGGGTAACAGACAGGCGCCCTATGCATGCCGCCGTCCGGTGCGGGCGACAAACAGCGAACCATCGGACACGACGCAAAACCATTGGATACAACGCGGAACTATTCTACGACACCGACGGGATCTCAATGATAGCAAAACGCTTGCAATGACACCAAACTGTGGATGTCGCTACAACTTGTCGGAAAACAATCTCTGTGGACCCTGCGATCATAGGCAACCACGCGGCTAGGACACGATTCCACAGATGAAGACAAATCGTCGGAAACGACGGTGCGGTGAGAGGTGACGCACCCGGTCGCGGCCACATGAACCCAGACCCCATCGAGCTGACAGGTCCGAACGGAGCCAGTGCCAGGCACCTCGCCGAGGTCCCCGAGTGTCACGCAGCTCCGAGGACGCCCCGCTGAACAGGTCACAGTGGCGGCACGGCAGGCGGCATCGACCACCTTCTTCCCCCCCTCCCAGGTTCATCCTGAAGAGGGGGGGGGGGCGCGCTGCGATGTCGTCAGTTGAGTATCGCCGACCCATCCAGCGCGTACCAATGCGGGGTGTCGCAATGAAACAGCTGGAAGGTGATAGACATGCAATGTCTGCAGCCATGCAGTATACACCCAGAGTTCAACACGGGAAAATTCAGACAGCTTGGCGTCGCACACTTCGCACCCAAGCCTTTGGGGAACCAGCGATATCTCAAAGGCTAATGACCCATTTCTGACCGCAGTGGAACAACTGCTTCAGCGCAAGGCCCCAACGGTAGCCAGCCGCGGGGCTCGTGACGCCCGGGGAGGACGTGTCCTCATCGCCCATCCCCAGGCCCAGACCGCCGGCGGGGTGCATCGGCGACGTCATGGTTCGGGCGGGGCCGTACGGTACCGCCGCGACCCACAACCAGCCCCATCCGCCGGCCAGCGGCCGTGGGAGAAATGCCGACGGTTTTCCGACGGAGCTCGGCGGTCGTTACATCTAACGCGGCGCGAGCTGCACGAGACGGGGTCCCGGCCAGCCCGTTCGTCGGCCGTTATGGAGATTCGTCGGCCACTCAGCCTGTCACGAAGGCTTTGTAGTCGGGTGTATGTGGGAGAGAATGGGCCACAGGTTTTCACTCACGCCTTGCCGGGGTACACGGCATTCGTTCCGCTTTGATGCTTTTCACCAAAGCAGGAGGATCGCAGGAGGCTTTCGAAAAGCGTCGGGGCGTCCAGTCGCCTATTTTAACGTGCATAAGCCACTCGAGTTCTTCAACCTGTTTGCTTTAGTTCAGAGTGCAGGGCAAAGGTCGCGCCGCCACGGCGTACTTACAAAATACGCTTGGAACATCCATATTTTACACGGCGCGAAATAACCACAGCAGCCGAACCGCCGTTAAAAATCCAAATCGTCATCAGCCATGTGTTAAGACATGTCCTGTGCGCAGATAATTTAGGTCATTGGCGACGTAATGAAAAGAATACCCGAAAAACGCACGCCGTGCAGCAGATCTTTTCCAAACGCGCCAGAGATGACCGCTGTGTGAGGTTCACTCCTGCCTTCGGAGCACACCGTGCCATTCTGAGTATACATGGGCCCGTCAATAGCCACAATTTACCGCAGCCCTAACCAAAACACCAAAATCACTTGGAACATCTGAACACACGCGTACGGATCGAGACTGACCAAACAGAAGACGCCCTGCTTACGCTGAACGGATGGAACAAATGCAGCACCCACAGCGACACAGCTCCAGGCCGCACGAACACACAGAGGCCCACAGGAAGCGGGCAACAGCCCTGAGCAGCACGCTGGACTAGGACTGGCACCACGCAACACCACAGTCGATAAGACGGGAAAAGACGACACAGTGAAGTGATGCCCGGCTGCCGCTGAACTCCCAGCGGCGGGCGAGACGTAAGCGACATAGGAGATTCGGCCGCTGTTTGATTACCGCCGCGGAGCATGGAGACAGGGACAGACCACAGCGCGCGCGCGGGAGGCCGCGAGGGTCGGCGCGGGCGAGGCACTTACTTGTCCTGCTGCCTGTCAGCGTGTGTGTGGAGCCCGTTCTGGAGTTCCGTCCACTGTGAACACACAGAGCACGAAAAAGGTCAGACGACAGGCCGGGTGGCGGGTCAGGGCGCAGGCCAATCACGGTCAGGTCACGGGTCGGGGAGCGCTCACGGGCTGGAGCTGGGGTTCTGTTGCAGATCGGGTCACAGGACGGTCAACACGGCAGGCCATTCATGACGCTCCACGACGGGCTATAGATGCGGGGACAGATTGCGGGGACAGAGTGCCGTACAGTGCGGCTCAAAGAGCAGGTCACCGCACAGATCACAGGCCGGGATACAGGACAGGTGAGAGATCAGACAGATCATTTCACGGGGCCGGTCACAGGTTGGTGTCAAGGCAGTGATCCGAAATCGCATGCGAACCACTCCAGCAAAATAACCTACGATCTGGTCGCGTGACCGGAGACCGGTCGGGGGCTGTAACGCCAGCCCCGCCGTGACAACGTTCAATCAGCAGCGATAGGCATCGGGCCGTAAGTCACAAGAAAATGAGAGCCGGCTAGGATTTTAAATACCGACGCCTACGTATGGGGAAAGTTTTGGAGAGCCACAGCCAGCGGGACGTGAAGATTTCGGTGGCATTTTTCGCAAAACATGCAGCCGAACAAACGCCTTGCTAATGGCACACAGATTACGGGGATTTACACTAATGCCGCTAATTTAATCCGAAGAACAAATTAAGGCAAATCACGACAAGTTACAATGTGGGTCAAACTGCACGAGGCGGGAGAAAACCATTTAGTCGACACTGCGGCCCCGGGAAAGCTGGACCAACGAGCGAACAGTAGAGCGATTACCCTTTTATCGCGTCCAAACGCTATCTCCTGCACTCATTTCGCTGGCTGGCAGACAGGCGTGTCCAGTTGTGACACAATCGGTGCATCTCTTTCAGCAGTTCACGAGGAGCGATGGGAAGGGGGGTGAGGAAAGTGGGAGGCACGGAAGTTATCACCCGCTCGCGGCGATGTTAGACAGGATGTTGTTGCCCCCACCATGAGATCGCAAACCACGCGCCGGCCGCGGACGACCGTTGATTGTTCTGCGATAATTTGGCACAGTTCGACCAAGGAGGGACGTGCAATGTACCGGCCCGCCGACAGCTGGGAACGGGGAATAAGAAGTCCGAGCGTGAGCCTAAGCCGGAGCTGAGGCCGACAAAAGGCACGAGCCGGGAAACGAAACAGGCGCGCGGAGACCGGAAACTGAACCCCATGCCCAAGCCGGAACGAGAGCCTGAGCCACGAGAGCCATCAGGCGGGAGCCAGGAGCTGAGATCGCGAGGACAGCAGCCATTGGTCGGTGGCAGACCGCACTGGCCGGAGCGGAGCAGTCGGTGGCGGGAGACCTTGGCTCGAGCATGGTGAGACTGACAGTCCGCGGTCGGGAGGCGGGATGGCGCCGGGAGCAGGGGCGCGGACGAACGGACAGGAAGTGTTGAGTAGCCGGTCAGAGGGGGCGGGGGTGGGGGCGGGGACCGGGGTCGGAATCGGATCGGATCGGATCGGATCGGATCGGATCGGATCGGGACCGGGACCGGGATCGGGATCGGGATCGGGATCGGGATCGGGATCGGGATCGGGATCGGGATCGGGATCGGGATCGGGATCGGGATCGGGATCGGGATCGGGATCGGGATCGGGAACGGGACCGGGACCGGGATCGGGATCGGGATCGGGATCGGGATCGGGACCGGGACCGGGATCGGGACCGGGACCGGGACCGGGACCGGGATCGGGATCGGGATCGGGATCGGGACCGGCACGCAGAACGCTCCGCTTTCAGCGGGACCACCAGCTGTCTGTCGGCTTGCGGCAGCGGGATCTGACGACGTTTCGTCGCTCATTATCGGTACAGAAGGAACTCTGACGTCATCACAAATGGGCCGTGGAACCGTGGCCACGGCCCATTACCCCGAACATGCATAGCGGATTAGCACCTGGCGAAAGCATTTCACCTATCTGCGATACCTTAAACTTAACTGCCCAAATTGCATAGGCTACCACATGTTTCGCTAGGTTGTAAATTACGCCACGGCCCAAACTCCCTAGTTATGCAGCTCGGCCCAGTTTTACGCAATACCTACAGACACTTATTTCATGGGCAGTTTGCGTCACGCAGCCATTTCAGTTTTGAGCACATGTGCAATACCAATTGCATGCCTAAAGAAAACAAAGATACCACATCACAAACCATTGCATTGTGTTCGTAACCATCAGATACAACTTCACTTTCGTCGTTTAAATCAAAGCTACCATCTCGCAACAATCCGTAGCAATGTAATCAAATCTTCTGGTCCCATCCTACGTAGCGAATGGTCGGAAGTTCCCTTGACATATACCTTTCGTAATTGTGTTGGAAGTTAACGCATTACTTTTCAGCTTCCCAATGGGAATATCATCGGATATGCCGATTGTCAAGACGAGAGAAACGTTGAAAACATCAACATACGCACTCCGAAAGAAATACCGGTAAATTTGGCTCAGAAAATAAAACTTTTCGACGGAAGCGGTTGCCTTCCGTCATTCGGTCGGGAACGCCGGCTCGCACATCCGGCACGAGCCGACCGCAGTCCGCCTCCGGCGGCCAGACGGCGTCCGGCGAATTAATTGTGCCAGCACGTGGCGGCGCGCGCCGCGCCACTGTTCGTCGCAGGTGCGCCGCGGCCGTGGACGGCCCCACGCGCGGCGCGCGGACCCGTTCTCACACTAGACAGTGGACGGCCTATTTCGGCTACGTGTCCCCATACCGGGCGGTAGTCCAGGCGCGGAGCGAGGCGGAGGGCGCGGGGCACATCGCGGACCGGGCGCAGGTACTCACGGACCACGGGCACGGCACTCACGGGCCACGGGCGCGGGCACTCACGGACCACGGGCGCGGGCACTCACGGATCATGGACACAGCACTCACGGACCACGGACGCATCACTCATAGACCCAGGCACGGCACTCACGGACCACGGACGCAGTACTCACGGACCACGGGCCCGGCACTGACGAACCATGGACCCAGCACTCATGGACCACGAGCACTCGCGGATCATGGACCCGGTACTCAGGGACCACGGGCACGGCACTCACGGACCACAAACACTCACGGATCACGGACTACACGGCGGGACAGCCAAAGACCAATGGCCGGAGTCGGAGGCACCCGCACCATGGAATACCGGCCGGATGTCGGCACTCTATAACAAAGGACCGCGTGCTCACGGACCGGGGCCCGGGCAATGCTGCCTCAACATTGCCCCTCGCGGCCCACGCATCGGACAGGGACTGGCGGAGCATGCGCTGGGAACCTACGCACCGGGGACTCACGGGCCGGAGCTCACCGACCGGAACTCACCGACCGGAACTCACGCACCGGGAACTCACCGACCGGAACTCACGCACCGAGAACTCACCGACCGGAACTCACACATCGGGAACTCACTGACCGGAGACTCATGGCACAGGAACTTACAGACCAGGGGTGAGTGATGACGTACTATGGATAGCGCGCGTCACCCACCGGCGGGGTTTGTGATGATCGCTGTGATCGCCTGACTTGACCTGAACTGTTCCACATCAGCGGTGTGGTGGGACCGTCCATGGGCGTGGCAGGCGGTGTGTTGCCGGAGTAGATGTATAGAAGAACACGTATAGGAGTAGATGTATAGGCTTCTCGACACAGCTGATCAGCGAGTTGCCTCTACCACGAACAGTATCGAGCTGTGCCGCTATAATCTTTGATATTTTGCTAGCAAAGCCAGCTCCTATAACGGTCGTCCCAGAACGGATGCCAAACTCCAGACAACTCAGTTCGGAAGCAGCGGCGGGTCCTGGATGCCGGGGCGGCGGAGGGCACAAACCACGGCCCGGCAGACGTCCGATGCGCGGCAGCCGGCACCAGCCATGAGTTGGGGACCATACCACTGGGCACGCGCGGCTGGCGTGTCCGTATTCCAGGCAGGACTCGGGTGCCCCTCGCGCGTGGCCGTGCGTTAGTTGAGCGGTCCTCTCTACAGACCGAGCGGTCGTCGAACGCGCCGCCCGCCCGGCGTCATCGGAGCCGCAGTGTTCTCGGCGCGCTGTCGGAGGCCGCCGCCGGCGCGCGGGCAGCTTGTTTAGTGCTGGCAGTGCGTCCGCCAAGCAGCGCGCGGCTCGAAAACAAACTCGCCATCAACTTGGCCCAGAAACCGGCGCAAGGTGACGCCGTCGGCCGGCGAGCGCACCGACCTGGCCGCCGTGTTGTTTTAGCCGAACCGAAAACATGGAGCCGTCGAACGAACGCGTTTTTTCGGCCGGGCCAGCGCTCGGAGCGACGCGGCGAAAACACGCCCGTCGGCGGGGTTTGTGATGATTCCTACGGCTGCCTGACCTGACCTGACCTGACCCACATCTGCGGTGTGGCGGCACCCTCCGTGGGCGTGGCAGCCGGTACGTGGGCAGTCGGGCAAACCCACTTCTGACCTAGTGGGGCCATACTTCTGTTCGCGCGCTATTGGCGTACACGGATACACTAAAGATGAAGATCACTCTACCAGTCTTCAGTGATACCGTTCAACCTTCTTAAAAAAGAGCGCAGCCACTCTCAGCGACGGGCGTCAGCACATTCCCTTTACGATCACCTTTGTAGACATTGGAGGATTACGTGTCACCTCCAACATACGACACGCGCGGACTCGAGACACCTTCGGCATGCGGCTTACAGCACGCAGCACGACGGCGGCCAGCTGCCACAACAGACGTCATGCCACGGTGTTATTCCTAGTCCGCGATGCGTCTCTGGGACATCAAACTCCCAGGTCTCTCACAGACAGCCGTGTCCGTCGTTTGCGTTCAGTTGTTTATGGTGCCAGCCGACCGCGTTTGGCAGCCACCCGCGGCAGCTCCCGCCGTCTGGCAGCATTGGGTGGCGCCATCGCCTCTCTGGAAGCCATCGGCAGTCGTGACTGGTTCAGCAGTCTAACACGCCCCGGCAGTCACGCACCCGAGTCTGACGGCTCTGCACAGCGCCGAATGGCTGCCAGACGGCTGCCGCAGCTCGTTTGCCGCGTTGGGGAAAACCTGCTTCCTCCAGCCAAGATGCCCAGGTGTTTAGCGTTGGGACATCACTATGTGACCTTGGCCGAGCCTGAAGGCGGTGGATCTCTAGGGAACTCCAACACTGAATGACCCGCCTAATCCAGTCTGGGCGCGACCCCGACAGGTTTGGACACCAGGCGACCTGTCCCTGCCTGCGTCAGTTAGATGATGCCGTTTAATCCGCCGTCGGCCCCCTGGCTTCTCGCCCCAGTCCGGGTCGCGCCGGCGCCGCGCCGTCCGGCCACGGTCGCCGACCTCTGGCGAGCTGTCACTGACTCGGGCGTGACGGGGTCGGCTGCAGCTGTGTCTCTGGCGTGCATGACAGGGCCCGGCTGCGCCACCGGCAGTCACGCGCGCGACGAGTGGCGGCTGTGGCCGCTCCGGCCGCCCTGCCGCCCCGATGCAGCGTCAATGGTAAGGGCGCACGAGCCGGCTTTTAGATGGCCCGAACAGCAGCAATGTGTGGGATTAGGACGCTGTGATTAACATAAACGAATGCAAGTAGCATTGCCACACAAGCCGCAACCTCCACTCTTGGTAATCCCGAGACTTTTTAACTGCAAGGGCTACGAGCATTTGCCGACATTTATCCTGCCCGTCCAGAAAATCCTCCGCCAGCGACGAGTACCGTTACTTCCAGTCAGTGGCAACCAACAACCAAACGTCACGCGTTTACGCCACCGGCGGCAGCGGTGTGCGAAGCCGGCTCATCCCAGAAGAGTGCGTTACAACGCTGCACGCCAATGCCGCGCGGAAGACCGGTAAACAAGTGGTTATTGCGGTGTCGGCGGTCCAAAGCCCGCACCAAGCACGGGGCCACGGGTCGGCGGCTCCTCACCGCAGGGTCTCACGCAGTCTCGAGTTACACGCGCTCTCGGGGCCCGCCGCACCGGAGGAGGCGAGTGAAACTGTACTCCGACGCGGCGCCCGGAAGTTCCCGGAGTGCGAGGCCTCGTCGGATCGGACCGGGCGGACCGAGCTGAGCTGAGCTGAGCTGAGCTGAGCTAAGCTGGGCTGGGACAGCACGGGCCGGCGGGCGGTATCCAGAATATGGTGCGCGACGCGCCAGGCCGCGCCGAAAACCTATTAAGAGCCTCTCCAACGCCCCGTTACGGCGTCTACTACGCGACATTGATTTGTTTATTTCTGATAATGGCTGTGACTTACGACGTGGTGGATATTACGAAAGCGGTGCCGGGACTGCCTGCCGACACTCATCAGGTCATCGGCTGTAATACGGTGTAGGCGAGGCCTCTGTTGGGTAACCGGGATGGCTGGAGGTGATAGGGCAGCGCGGCGAGCAGGCCGCAGGCTGGAGCGAAACACAGCGAAACGAGCGCCAGTCCAGCGCCAGCAGCGCCTCCCGGGCAGCTGGCGGATGCCAGTGACGTGGGAGACGCGCGTGTCCCCATCCAAAGCACGTCTCGGTGGGAGCACACAGTGCGGCAGCTCCACCTTTAAAGCCTCCCTGACCACTTCACGCTGAGCCCAACACAGCATCTCGCATCCCTTCCGTTCCCCGGGAACGCGGTGTGAAGCTCGGCGGGCACCGTCCGGCAACCTCTCCTCCGATCACCCACCTGACGAGGCTGCGTCGGGAGCCGTTCTGCGTGCCCTTCGCGGGCGTCACGCCCTCGTACAGCCGACTCTTGACCTCGCGCCGCGGCCGCGTCTTTTCCTCGTTCTTGTTCTGCTCGATGCGGCTCATGACCGCGTCCCAGCGACCCTTGGGCTGCGCGCGCTGCTGGCGCCGCCCCTCGGGCGCCGGCGTCGGTGCCTCCAGCATGGAGCGCAGCTTGCTCTGTACGTTCCGGCGCGGCAGAGGGTGGTTCATCTTGATCGGGTCCTTTTTGACGGGCAGCTCGCGCGCGCGCACCACGTGGCTGGGGATGGGGTCGCGGCGGCGGCGGGCGACGGGCTGCTCCGGCGCCGCCGCCGCGCCGGACGGCGTGGGCGAGGCCGGCAGAGCGGGGGCGGCGGCGCCGGCCGGCGACGACTGCTCCTCGGCCGGAGTCTCCAGCACCGGCGACAGCGTGGTCTCCTCCGTCTCCGCGATCGCCTCGATCTGCCGGACGGCGGTACGGTCAGACAAACAACGCGCGGACACGACGCAGGCACAACGCGGCGAGCAGTGTTCCGGTGACACCGTGAGAATGGGAGCCCTGCCGCCGCCGGAATCCGCCCCGGCCGCATTGCGCCTTGTCGTTACATAACCGCGCTCGCGTGCACCCGCCGTCCCGCTCCCGTGCGGCACTTCTGAACCTCTGCAGCGCACAAGACGAGTTGATTGACGTGGCCAGTGACAGACTGACGTGGTCAGTGGTCAGTGACAGCTTAACGTGGTCAGTGGTCAGTGACAGATTGGCGTGGCCAGTGACAGACTGACGTGGTCAGTGACAGACTGACGTGGTCAGTGGTCAGTGACAGATTGACGTGGCCAGTGACAGACTGACGTGGTCGGTGACAGATTGACGTGGCCAGTGACAGACTGACGTGGTCAGTGACAGACTGACGTGGTCAGTGACAGCTCGGAGAACAGTTTGCGCCGTGCCATTCTCAGAAGAACCTCAGAGGCGGGCATCACCTCTCTTTAAAGCCCGGACAAGCCGCCAAAGTTTAAAAACCGCCGCGGGCGCCGAACGTGGAGACGGTTGCGTGATCAGACTATGTCGGGCCGATGCCAGGCTCGGGTCCGATTCCGTGATCAGCTGGGTGTATCAATGTCAGATCGGGTGATCACCTGACCTACCTCGCGTCAGATCAATTGATCATCTGTCCGAATACAGGATTCGGTGCTTAGCTAAGTCCAGAAACCGAGCAAGTTCCTGTCGGTTATACTCAGCGAGCAACTGACTCTCGTTCACACTCCGTGTTCATCTGAGCAGCTTAGGTTAACTGTAAGTCAACAGAGTGTCTAGCACCCAACTCAAATGACCGGCACGAAAGGCTCCATATCGAGGGAACTGATCGGCTCTGATATCACGCTGACTGAAGAGACCGATTTGGCTGCCTCTGAAGTCATGCTGAGCATATGGGCTGACTCCTAGATCCTACTGAGAGTCACCTCTCGGATAACACCAATCATTCTGAGTCAACTGACTTATCATGATAACAAGCTTTTCGTTAACTACAGGCATTAAGTTGAATTAGTTGAGCTACCCAGGGTGCCCCACCAAGCGTCAGGGCTGGCCGATTCAGGCCCCCAGCCCCGAACCTCCCCTCCCCCACCCCCACTCAGTCAGAGTTGGCCGACTCAGAACGTCCCCAACCCAGAGTCAGAGCTGCCCGACTCGGAGTGTCCCAGCGCGAGTTCACTGACCGGCTCGCGGTCGGGCTCGGCCGAGCGGCGCGACTCGGCGTCCGAGTAGACGCCGCTTGACTCCATGTCGTCGGTGAGCCGGTGCTCGGCCTCGCTCTCGGTGCCGGCGGCGCCCTCGCTGCAGAAGTCCGAGTCGGTGAGTACGTCCAGCCGGGGCGGCGGCCGCGCCGGGTCCTCGCTTGGCGTGCCTGGCGACGGGGGAAGCGGCGGTCAGAGCGGGTCGGAGCGGGTCGCACGACGAGTGGCAGTGGCAAGGAAGATGTGTCACCTGTGTAAGGTCAAGTAGGTCGGATCAAAGGTGTCGGCGAAACAGGATATTCCTGAGCACACAGGTCAGCGACGGCGGGTGGGTTGAAACACACAGATCAGGCGCGTAATGTTGCTTCCGGAATGCAAGCTCGTTGTGCATTTTAAGGCCGTGTTGAGGAGGGTCATGCCAAAGTCAGACCAGCCAACCGACTTCCGCTAGCGTGCACCGAAATATCGTAGCCATTTCGCATACATACGCCTTCTTTGCGACCGAGGCTCGTTTCTCAGCGTCCGCGCCAAGCGGGCGGCCGGCCGGGGTCGAAGGGCAGACCACTCAGACAGTAACGTCACCACAGTATGCACCACCTCAGCCGGCCGCGTGCCAAACGGCCGACCACAATCGCACGTGGGCGGCACTAAATCGCGGTCAGCTGGGCCGAGCGCCAATCTAAGGCATCAGCACTCAAGCAGCCCAGACAAGGACACGGCCACCGCCTGGGCGGCAGCAATCGGGGTGACTGGCGACGTATGAATCTCCGGACTGGGGAGCACGCTTGCGCTGGTCACACTTTCTGCAGGACACGTATAGACTTTGCTGAGTGTTCGGCAGGGTAGTAATGAATCTTTCGAGCAGGCTGTTTACTCGTTTTCTTTTCGCTACAACTGTTTTCGCGCCGTGGACTGAGTTTGGCAGCATTGAAAACATTGAGCGCACTTCCAGAAGTGCATTTTAACTTCCACTTGTCAAGGCTGCCCATAGCACAAACATAATCCAGCTCCTCGGAACTTTGGTCCAAACACCAAACTTGCACGCGCCGCTGACAACGCGTCTTTTCAATGCGGTCGCGGAGCGTCCCAATGCGGTCAGCTGCCGCCGCCAGCAGCCGGCAGCCCGGCCGGCAGCGGCACCGGAACCGATTCGACCGCGATTCGGCCGGCTTGGAGCGACACAGGCGCGTCGTGACCGCCCACGGCTCGAAAGCGGCGCTCCCAGTCATCGCCGCACTGTCCGGGCGCCGCGCGGCCTTTGTACCGGCGCCCCTGGATTGTGCGGCGGCGGCGGCGGTGCGACGCTACTGATTGCGTGCTCCGCCGGCTGTGTCCCCAAACGGAGCGTGTTGTCGCGACCGCCAGACCCGAACGGCGCCACCGCTCCCCGGCCGCGCCGTGCGGCACCGGCAGACACAAAACAAGCTTGCCTTCCTCCAGGTACCGGTTCCGAGCGTGAAGGTCGTTTCTGTGACGGCAGCTTTTCTCGCAAAATTAGTGATATCATCGCTGGTTAGCGGTTCCTTTTTGTGCTTGCAGTCGAAAGGACCCCGAGATAGCACCAGAGTAGGATGGCTGGGTCACTTACGTTTCGCATTGGAATCTGGACGCACTACATACGGGTAACGCCAACGAAACATCGCACCTACTGGCACGATTGCATCACTGAAGAGATAGGCAAGTCGCAACATCTCGAGCCTGGCAAAACCTTTGCCATCATAGATGACCTCATGATAATCCGCAGCCTCACCCGGCCCTCGAACACACACTCGTCATTCGAACGAACCGCTGCAAACATTGATTGCTTGGCTTCGTCACATCGCCGAACCTTGTCTAGACCTTCTCAGAGGAGGATTATTTACCCCCAGACCCAAACAGGCCGGGCTTTAGTTCGAGCTTCACGCCCCGCGATGATGTCAGGAAAACCCCAGAGAGCGAGGCTCACGCGGTCACGCCACACAGAGAAGTGTCCGCGCCACCAAAGTGCGTCCCATCCGGTATAGCTTGGCACAACTGTCAAAAATAGGCGGCCGCCCAACGGACGGAGCGCGCCTCACGGCCACAAACGTGACAGCTCAACACATGACAGTCAGCTCCACACCTGACAGTCAGCTCCACACAAAACAGCTCCATACATGCATTCGCTTCACACCCAGCAGGCAGCTCTACACCTGACAGTCAGCTCCACACCTGACAGTCAGCTCCATACCAGACAGTCAGCTCCACAGCAAACAGTCACTTCCACACCTGACCGACAGCTCCACTTCTGACAGTCAGCTCCATACCAGACAGTCAGCTCCATACCAGACAGTCAGCTCCACACCTGACAGTCAGCTCCACGCCTGACAGTCAGCCCCACACCTGACAGTCAACTCCACACCCGACAGCTCCACAGCTGGCCGGCAGCTCCACTCCTGACAGTCAGCTCCATACCTGACAGTCAGCTCCACACCTGACCGACAGCTCCACACCTGAAAGTCAGCTCCGCATCTGACAGCCAGCTCCATACCTGACCGACAGCTCCACTCCTGACAGTCAGCTCCACACCTGACCGGCAGCTCCGCTCCTGACAGTCAGCTCCGCACCTGACCGACAGCTCCACTCCTGGCAGTCAGCTCCACACTTGACAGTCAGCTCCACACCTAACCGATAGCTCCACACCTGACAGTCAGCTCCACATCTGACAGTCGGCTCCATACCAGACAGTCAGCTCCACACCTGACAGTCAGCTCCACACTTGACAGTCAGCTCCATACCAGACAGACAGCTCCATACCAGACAGTCGGCTCCACACCTGACAGTCATCTCCACACCTGACAGTTAGCTCCGCACCTGACAGACAGCCCTGCGCCTTTGTTATCGGGCCCGGGACACCAGGTGCGCCAGGTGATCAGCTGTTGACCGTCACGCGGCCCCGCTCCGCCGCACCCCTGCCCGGGCGGTCTCTGTATCGATCGCGACAGGTGAGCCGGCCAGTGCAGGGAGCAAAACTGGGCCAAACATGGGGACGAACGCGACGGCGAGCCGGGTGGATCCGTGACGGCCACCCCGCTTCTTTCACGTGGAATTTCATCGAACTTGTCCACGCACAGGCGGAAACGGATTTGTCGTTATCCACGATCTGCTCCCATTTGCGCCACGGATAGGCAGATGCGGACGAAAACGAACACTTCTGTATGGTACGGCGAGTGCATTGGGGGGTTGATAAGAGAGCACGGGACACCAATCGCATAATCGCTTTATTGTGTGGTTTCGCAGCTTGACAGGATGGGCGCACGACCATAGACGTGGGAACATACAGGGAGCGTGGCTCAAGGCCGGTTTGATTCGTTGTGTTCACTACCTTAATCTCTAGAATCAATTTTCCGTCGCGAGCGGGCACGGGCTGAACATTTTCTGGTCGTCGGTAACCGCGCCCACGCGTGGTTGCGAGTCCTGTGTGGTAAGACCGCGCCAGCGTAACACACAACACACACGGCAGTGAACGAGCATTGATCTACTCGAACCACCTGTGATGTCGCAACCAATCAGCGCTGCTTTGAGCGGTCCTCGTCAGAACGACACGATCGCTGCGAGGACCGAGCGTCGCGCCTCCATAGACATCTCCGCCCTGCTCTAAATCTTCGCACGCCAGCGGACGTATTCAGCGCACCATGTCTCCGTCCGCGTCCCAACGGGCATAGATCACTCGGCCGTCACTGGTGCGGGGCGCCGGCGGATCGGACCGGCTCCGGGGCCGGGCGCCGGCGGATCGGGCCAGCTCCGGGGCCGGGTGATGGCGGATCGGACCGGTTCCGTGGCCGGGAGACGGCGGATCGGACCGGCTCCCGTGGCCGGGTGACGGTGAATCGGACCGGCTCCGGGGACGGGTGCCGGTGGATCGAACCGGCTCCGGGGTCGGGTGCCGGTGGATCGGACCGGCTCCGGGGTCGGGTGCCGGTGGATCGGACCGGCTCCGGGGTCGGGCGCCGGCGGATCGGACCGACTCCGTGGCCGAGCGCCGGCGGATCGGACCGGCTCCGGGGTCGGGCGCCGGCGGATCGGACCGGCTCCGTGGCCGGGTGCCAGCGGATCGGGCCAGCTCCGTGGCCGGGTGACGGCGGATCAGACCGGCTCCGTGGCCGGGTGATGGCGGATCGGAGCGGCTCCGTGGCCGGGCGCCGTTGGATCGGACCAGCTCCGGGGCCGGGTCCTCGTCGTCCGGCGAAGGTTGCCGCCAGACGGCCGTAACCACGCCCGGAGATTGGCGCGCGCCCGTGCTGCGCCGCTGAGCAGGGCCACACCCTCGGCGCCCCCGGCTGGCCGGTCCGGTGCGGCTCGGCACGGTAACACAGGGCCCGACGAAGCGAGGACGTCGCGCTGGTGGTGTGCTCAGGTCTTGGGGACATGTTTCCGCGCGAACTGCAGCCCCCTGTCGTGCAGTGTACTAGCCACGTCAATCGTCGTCTCCTGCACACCTGTTTCAACCGCCGTTCCCTACATTTCAGTCAGCCTCTGCTGTTCCCTTCACCCTCACATCAGCGCTGCTGAACACAACGCCTCGCACCAGGTACCGCCATTCTTAACAATCCCACGTCTGTTGTCCTCCGCACTCCGGACCAGCTGATGATTCTTCGCACCCATGATCGGGTGTCGCCTCCCACCGAGCACCCATCGGCTTCTCTCGCACGGGTCGCGCCGCCCGCAACAGAGGAGACACCGGCGGCGTGCTGTCGGTGTCCGAAGGCCCCGCCCTGCCCCGCCGCGATTGAGGCCAATTACACGCACACCTGGCCCGTCATTATTGTTGTCGGACAATGACACCGGCGTGCGGAAAACGGAATAACGGAGCACGGCCGCTGGTGAGCCGAGAATAGTCGGCGTACCGACCACGCTGAAGCTGCGTGCCGAATGGCATGAGTCCTTTTCGCGTTCGATGCTGAGGATCTCGTGAAGCGCAGAAACCGCAAAGGAACGTTTCAAGCGATTCCACGAGTCTTCTTTGAACAGCATGGCGGCTGAGAGCCGTGCTGCGTCTCAAGGCGTAGCCAATGAGAAATGCCGGCCACGGCCACTTGACCGTCTTCTCCGCGGTCTCGGATCGATCGTCTTCGGGTGGTCCATGGGCCGTTCTGATTTTCCAGTAATAGTCCGATCGTTGGCAGATATCCAAGCGGCTGGCCGCCCATCTCGGACGGCCAGGAGAAAGATCCGATGCCTCCCTGATAGAGGCAAATGTCCTGCGCATCCGCGACACAAGCGCCCATTGAAGTCGGCGGCCAGCAAATCACGTCCGATACGCGAGAGGCGAACAGAAGGGGCCCTGTGCGAGGCCCAGCGCGCTGTGCCATTCACCGTGCGACTGGCGCCGCGCTGCCAGCTGCCGGCCCCTAATGGGCAGCATTGTGCGGCGCGTGGCACCGCCACTGAGGCGAAGTCTCGGCCGGCGCGCACAGACTCCGAGCGTGGCCGCCGCGCGAGGCCGGCCGGCGGAGACGACCGCGATCTGCGGCGCTGGTCGCGATGCCAAACTGAGTTCAGCGAAGCGATCAGCGTACCTCGTCCACAACGGAAGGCGCAAGCAGTTCCACGACGCGAGGTCGGTGAGTTTGCCTCTAGTCGACGCGCAAAAGTCTTGAACTATCGACGTCTCTTCCCGTAAGAGGCTGTGTCCCGCGGGTGTATGGTTTCACCCGTCTTGAGTGTGTGGATGTACATGGGTGCACATGGGTGTACAGTGATGCAACCAGTTGGTCCACTGAGCGCCGTGGGCGCACATGGTGGAGTAATATCGCTGCAATTATCGATCACATCCTTAAGCAGCTCTTATAAGAGCCAACGATCTCGTTTCGAAACGACTGATAGATTGCCACAGGCTGATTATTTGACCACTTGATTTTGCTCCACCCGCTGGCGCCATTGGGCACGGCCACATTCGGCGCAGCAGGGTAACCGCACCGCGCACCGCACTGCGCACGGCATGTGCTGGAGCACGTAAGGTGCTCCGTGCCGGAACGTGACGTATCTGCAGAAGATATGACCCCGCTTACAGCGGCACCGTGTTCATTTGAACAAGCAGTTACGGTTTGTTGGGGTTGGGCGGTTAGCTTTGATCAGGGTGATAGTGAGTTTTCAGGATTCTTTCGATCCTTTAGTGACGTCTTTAGATGTGAGCAACCAACCTAAGGACACGTGTATAAGCTTGCAAAATATTCTAGTGTATTCAAAATATTCCAGTAGCATCAACATTAATAGGACGATAGTAATAACCTTATTCTTTGTGGAAAAAAACAAGAGAATGGGGAGGTAGATGCGTTGATATTTCGGCAACATGCCTTTATCGAAACAAATATCAGTTTCGACTACTAATATTTGTTTCGACAAAGGTATGTTGCCGAAATATCACAGCATCTATCTCTCCATTCTTCGGGTTTTTCTAAGAGGAATACAGCTACTTCAACTGTCTTATCTACGTGCATATTTGTCGCAAATGCATTAAACAACTTAGGCAATTACCAATATTAAATTTGAATGTGTTAACTATATGACTTCGTATTTGTCATCGGAAATACCAGGTTAACTCTGATCTCGTTCTGGTAGAACTACACGTCTGTGTTCCAATGGATCTAAATTCCTGGGATGACTCTAGTGCGGATGCTGAGGCGGACGCAAACGAACACATCCAGCCATAATTGCGTCTTGCATAACGCACGATCGTGCGGTCTACGGCACGAGTGTAATTGCCGGTCCTGGAACCTCACGTAAACAAAGTAGCTGAAAGGTCACTGGAGGGGGACATCGACACAAAACACGGTTCACCGGCGGTGGAGACGGCACGTGATCAGTGGGATCAGGAAACCTGCACATCCAGCACTCCGGCTGCATATCCATTTGGCACCGCCGCTCGCGGCATCACCCCAATCTGTTCGTGTGGACGTCTGTGCACGCCGCTGGCGGAGCTGGCGCCTCCGAGCGGGGCGCTGCTCGGTACTGCGGGGCGCTGCGGGGCGCTGAGGGGCGCTGTTTGGTGCTGAGGGATACTGCTCGATGCTGAGGGGCGCTGAGGGGTGTTGCCTGGTGCTGAGGGGTGCTGCTCGGCGCTGAGGGGCGTTGCTCGGTGCTGCAGGGCGCTGCTCGGTGCTGCGGGGCGCTGCTTGGTGCTGGGGAGCTGCTCGGTGCTGAGGGGCGTTGTTTGGTGCTGAGGGGCGCTTCTTGGTGCTGAGGGGCGCTGCTCGGTGCTGAGGGGGGCGGCTCGGTGCTAAGGGGCGCTGAGGGGTGCTGCCTGGTGCCGAGGGTTGCTGCTCGGTGCTCAGGAGCTTTCCGATCAGTGCAACATTCGACCACCAGGCGGGGCGGGCCGCGGCGGACTCCCAGGTCAGGTCATCTAGTCACCAGGCAACTCTGGAGTTGACGGGCAGCTCTCACCATCAGCAGACGGCTATCGGACTGATCTGGTGCTGAAGCTATGCGTCCTGCGCTCGCATCACCTAGCAAGCCGCGACTGTCAGCGTGGGACACTGCGATTCGTAACAAAAATCCTTCGAGACAGAATGCTGGAGATCAATGATACGGTGACGAGCTTCAACATACCCGACGCGGCAGTGACAGCCATATGCCGCCAAGATGTTCCCAAGGTTGTGCAGTGTTTACCTCGTCCGTCTCCTCTGACATAAGTGCTTGTTTTGAAACGCGATGCAACGGGATGCCAAGAAGCTTTTTGTTGCTTCTTATTCGAAACCAGCCAACCGAACTGCCGCGTTTCATTCTACCGACGACTTAACTTGCATTTGCACCAGAGAAGAGCAAGATACCCACGGTGTTTCTGACATATCTGGCTGCTCATTTTGACGGTATGACTCGGGAAACAATGGTACGTCCACGTGGCAGAAGAACAAATAAACATGCAAGCAAATACGGCCAACCAGAAATGAAACGACGTCCCTCACCACCACACAAGCGTGCCACTCGGACTAGCTCTGCTGCCTATCTGACCGCCCACGTCGCCAGATCCGCTGACGCCACAGATGGCGCCGGGCGCAGGTCGCAGGGCCGCCATACCCCTGTCCCGCCTGCTGCCGACCGGTACCTGTGTCAAACTCGCTGTCGCCCTGGTAGCCGCCGTCGATGCTGGTGGTGGAGATGGCGCAGCTGGTGGCCGGGTCTGGCCGCTGCGTCTCGGGCTCGCTGAACACCACCGACTTGCGGTCCGGCCCGGTCGCGTCCTGCGGCCCGGCAACGACGTGTCACACGTCGCCGACGTCGACGGCACCGATGCCGGAAGTCGACACATCCGGCCGGCAGAGATGTGAACGCAAAAACGGCGCACAAAAAGCCGTGACAAGTACAAACACTAAAACGGCTGGGTCCCCCCCCCCCAAATGTCAGGTACGGGAAGTTAAAAAGGAAGGGGAGGGACCAGCGGCCTGGTGCTGTCTGTGACACCATCATCGATATATTTCGCTGCCACATTGAAGTTGGCGTCTAGAGACAGGCCCGCCCTGTGCATCCGTCAAACATCAGGTCGTCTGTGAAGCCGCCGACTGTAACACCATATTATCCGCACCACCTCCGGTCGCTCGGCGGCGCCGGCAGCGGCAAATACACGCCCTCCAAACATCCGGCCGCTGCGCCGATTCCGGCGCAGCGCGCCAGTCTGCCGCCGGCGCCGCAATGGCCCGCCACCGCCGGCGGCCACGGAAGCACGGGCTGCCTCCCGACTCGGCCAGAAATGGGCCGCCGGGTGGGCGGACGCGCGGCGGCGCCGGCGCTCGCGACGTCTTTCAAGCGAGGAACGTAGACAACTTCACCGCACACTCTGCGGCGAACCCCTGCCAGTGTCCGCACAGAGCGTACAGATGACCTTGGAATCGTGGAGTGGAGCTGCCTTGGTGGCGTGGGCGGCGCAGCGCGAGGCGTCAGCGACGCGCCGCTGATGTGGGCCGGTGCACAGCAACACGGGTTCACTGTTCGCCGCCGGCCGTAAAGCTGGCACGCGGCACGGCTCGCCTCGGCTGACCTCGTTTGCCCCCGGCGTTTCCGCGGCGGTGCACCGGCCAACACAGCCGTGCACATATTCCTGCCGACGTGGGCGTCCCGGGAAAACGGGCGTCCAGTTGGCGTCCACAGAGAGCGACTGCGCGGCGGCAAGAGGACTGGGTGCAATGGAGGTCGCCAGGCATTCAGCAGCGGAAGCAGGGGTTTCGCAGAGACTGGGTCCAAAGCTCGGCGACCAAAGCCGATCATGTTCGCCCTGCTCGCGTTTTTAGTGGGCCCAGCCCTGAGCCCAGACGGTATGGGTCAAGCCAGGCCACCTGGCTTTTGCCTGGATGATTTCCTGAATCTAAACTGAAAACGCGACGAGCTATCCGCTTGGTAGGCCCTTCACATGGCCGGCGACGACGGTGGACTGACGCTGCACCGGCCGGCGGCCCGCCGCCCTCCACCGCCGGGCGGCCGGCCGCCGGCCGCGCTCCACATCCAGCGGGGAGGGGGTCGGCCGAGCCGGCGGTCTGTGGCACGGTACGGCGCCCCCGCCGACCGGTCACGCCCGGCCGCCACGGCAACCACGCAGAGGCGGCACCGGAACAGATGGAGTCTGGCTAACTCCCCTCCCCCCACCGGACAAGGGGGCTACGTGAATTGTGCCGACTCCCGACAGACAACCTAGATCGTATGGTGGGTGGAGCACCCAATCGCGGAGGACCAGTAATCCACACCTTTTAAGACGGAATAAACTCAGTCACGCAAATTTGATGAGTAAGATGGGACCACTCAACCGATGGTGTCTCACAAACAGGTGGCCTTCATCGAACGGGGCTAATTAACACATCAGAGCATTCACGGCAGCATGAACTCAACACACGAGAAGGACCTGTCTCATCGCCGGCGTATCACCGCAGACTCACAGCGCTGCGGGGCTCTCCGGGGCAGAAGACGCAGCACTTCTTCCACACAACGCCCCGGGGATGCGGCGGCGGCGTGCGTGACCTCCAGCTCAGAGGCTGGCCAGGCACTGACAATGGCCGCTCGCTTCTTAGATCTCCTGTTATCTGACCGGCAGATTGTACGACAGATACTCACCTACCGCGGCTGGCAATGCTATCTTCTTTAGCGCGGGCACAAACTGAGCCTTGAGAACAAAGATAAAAGAAAGCAGGTGCTCTGATTTGCCGTCTTAACAGCTTACAATTGAGAACCGTAGGTGGGTAGCACAGTTGACCTGTTTCTGAGCCCATCAGCGGCGGCCAGGGTTAACTGTCACGTGAGCCTCAATAGCAATGCAGCCCAAAACACAAGGCGGAGAGCTTGGAGGGTAACTGAAATCTTCCCAGAAGCCCGAGTCAAAGGCATGCATGGACTTACAGGCGACGAGAGCTACGTATAAACTGAGGCGCATCGACTGACCGGCGGCGGGAATGTCACGAAATATGACGGGTCTGCGACCTTTAACACGTGCCCGGGTGGCCGGCTGAATACCCTTCGCTCGGGTGGGGGTCAATTTGATTCCCCTGCGATATCGATAACTAAGATTGCTAGAAACACCAAACTCACAGAGTGCATAAACCTGTACGTGAGCTCGCTTGGGCCAAAATCTGAGGTTTCCAGCACAGATAAGGTCTTGATAGGATCCTGAGGTCAGATAAGGTCCAACAAGGTCAAACTCCAAATTGGTGTGTCAAGTGCCCTCAGACATTCTTATAAGCTAGATATATGTTCTAAGCAAAACGTCAGTGAGGTCAGCGACCTACTTTGACCTTTACGGTGCCCAGATGGCAACATATCTACGAGACTGCTCCTGCACTACCATCCAAATAAGCGTCAGGGATTACGCCAGGCCGCATGTTCCTAAACAAATTGTTGACCTGGGTCATTTGAGGTCAGCGACCTACTTTGATTCTTTTAGACCATGAAACATGTCTGTTGCCGTACGTGTCAGCAATAGATTCGAAATAAGCACCAGAAACTACCCCATGAAACCAAATTCGAGGGAAAAAGCAGGTTAGTTTTGACCTCGTTTTGATCTTCATGCCTGACTAATTCAATTGCATCGGTTGTTTCTAAATTTACTTGATCTGCTACTTAAGAAACCTTCTCAGATATGTACGGCTTCGCCTAACACTCCGTTGTTGCATTACATTGAACGATTCCCCTAGAAATGGCCTTCGCTGACAACCATGGCTTGACTTTGTCCTTCCATACGTCAGCGACCTTACAAGGTGCATCCCTTTTTTATCAAACGATCCGCTTTTCAACTCTCTTCAGCTATGCAAAGTTTGGAGCGGCTACGTGGCACCGTTCGGAAATCATTCTGGAAAAATTATTCGGAGGGTCAGTTTGACACCCACCCGAGCGCGCGTCAAAGGGAATATGCCACCTTTTTGTATTTTCACTTATTGTTGGTTCGGACGCGTCCGATTGGATCGGTGATACAAGTTTTCTCCAAATCTTTCGAAACAGCTCATAATTTTGCTTTGAAGTTGCCGCTCCTGCGGGAGAAATTCAGAACTTGATCATTGCATCTCGTACCCACTCCTACGAATGTAATGCGATTCATTTGCATTCATTTCCCAACGTCTGTGTTCTATTAAGTTTGCCACACGCAAAGTTGCCAAAATGTTTGTGCAATAAAAGCTATGAAAGCTTGAAATACTCTGTTTATAGAAAAAGACATGCAAACAAGGGGCTAGTAACTCGCGGATTACACGAAATGATATACTATGGCTTTGATATATTCCCTATTTCGTTTGCCATGCGGTGTTTCCCACAACGGCTCTTTTCGCCGCGCACTTCAGCTTTGGGAGACGAAATGCCACGCGGTCTATAGTGACGCACTAGTTCAAACTTTAACCCATGCGCTTCTCCGTGTCTGGCCCCGGTCGCCCGCTGTGCCAATCACAAGCGTTCCTTTGTGCTGACGTTATTCATAACTAGAGATTTTTCTTAATGCCGCAGGCCCATAATGTGCGGGTTAAAACAGCTCAAAAGTAGTACATCTAACCCGTAACAGCTGACAGCGGCCCTCAGCAGATTCTGTCGTCATCGTGATGGCGGCGGTCGCGAAAGCTGCAGCTATTGCGGGCTTGGAATACACTCTATGGCAACCAAGAAAGGATGGATTGCGGTGCTGCTGCAAAGGTTGACAGTGTAATTCGGTAAAGAATCAAAATGTATATCCTTAGCTTATCTTGATGGTGCTGCAGTGACACTACTCAGTGTTATCATTAGATGTGAATGGTCCTGAGGTTTTACCAGAGCACAGTTATCTTTTCAAAAATATGCCCCAAAGCTGGAACACTACCTTCGAACGGATGCAAACAGGCAACGTTAAAAACTCTGGCTGCAAACAGACATTCCATAGACCTTTTAAAAATAAGACTCAAATGTCTTTGGAAAGGTACCACTATCAAGCAATTTTCAAGTTTGGTTTGTATGGTCGCATTCGGATGGCAAATTGCAACGAAGACAGAACAGAAGGAACCAGAGCAAATCGAGGACTGATGGCATAAAGCGGTAGTTGCATGTAATGCAAACGGTCACAAAATGAGACGCTGCGCCCCATTTTTGTCCCCCCTCCCGTATACATCCCCTCTGAGGACAGGGCGGGGACCTCACATAATCAAATGTCACAAAAGGTCCAAATTGTTTGACCTACAGCAGGACAGCGCGCCATCAACCCGCATGACTGCGCCATTTGTGACACATGTGAGTCGTGCCACGGACGAACTCTGCCTCCCATCGGAGCAGGATCATCCCAGCCCTTCTCTGTTTTTGCCGCACCGGCTATGAGAACCGCAACGCGAAAACGCCGACCAAGTCAGAAAGCGTGTGCACACTACTATATATATATATATATATATATATATATATATATATATATATATATATATATATATATATATATATATATAGCATGACACTCACTCCGGTCTCACGCCTAAGCTAAGGTGAAGTTAATGAACTTAGCATTTATGTGCACTGAAGTGTACAGCTGGCCGGCTCGCGCGCTCGCGCGGCCGGCAGGCGTCGGATGTCCCTCCGCGGTGGTTGCCGCGGTGGTTCGCGGAGCGGCGCCCGCGGCGGGAGGTGGCGTTGTCGCGACTCAGGACGGTGTGCATGTCATTGCGTGATTGTTCGAAAACAAAGCAAATAGAAATGTAAACGTTAGAATGTTCGAGAACTAATAAAATGTGATCGAGCTAAACAAAACATTCATGTGAATCGCAAATGTGCATCAACGATTTCACCGCTTCAAAGTTTTTTGGCAAATGTAAACAACCCAGTCGAAATTTAAAAAATATTGATAAGTTTTGTGATGCGTTACGGAGGTCTAGATGCCACGTGCCTTGGCCGAGCTTGGACGTGTTGCATACACGGCGCCGTCAAACAGTTATTCCTCTCAGGCAACTGTATATGCCGTCGACAAGATAAACAGTCGAGGACGCCTTGCCCTGGTTCGCCGTGATTCACCGTTACGGAACGGATGGGTCCAGAGTCATGACTCACGGCTGGGTCATGACTCTGGGTCGTCCGGCCCGCGAGCGTCAGGCGAAGCGGCGCCGCGGCGAGCGCGAGGATGTCTGCGATGTTCGCGAGTGCGAGAAGAGGACAAGGTGGAAATGCGGAAGACAGGAAGTGGAAGACAAGACAAACCGGGAGGAGAAAGTGCAGAAGGCATGGGGGATTGCGAGGACAAAGTGTTTTGTGGTCACCTAGCACTTGGGGGCAATGAGCGCGGAACAATCGATGGCGATTAAGGAGCCTGCGAGCGCTCGGCAGCGACAGGCCTTTGAGGACGGTGGGCATTCAGGTAGCACAGCACGTGTGCGGAGAGGTCGTGGGGCCCGCCACAGCACCGTGCATGGGCGCAGAACACGGTGGATGTGCGGGAAGATCCGCGCACGCTCGGCAGCGAGTGGGGCGGTCGGCCTGGGCGCGGCCAGCCTGTCGAGAAGCAGGTCAGCTGTGCACCGGATAAGCCTTGCAGTCAGCCACCGGCCGCCCAGACACGATACGGTTGAATGAGATAAGGTGTAAATACGATAAGGTGCAGGGAGAGCCTGTCGGTGTAGTCAGCTCGTGTTGCTGTCTGAGATAGCGATACGCTTTAAATCCTTCACTCCTATCAAAAGGTTCGATATGATTAAGGTTTAAAGATCACATGGAGCGTCATTATTTGGCACAAAGGCGCAAATAAGAGCGGCAAGAAATGTTCGTTGCTGTTCTTGCGCCACGCACTTCAATCGCATGTCAATGAATCGAATCACTGCACACATCATGAATATAAACGAATGCACTCATACCAGCTTCTCACAGCGTTACAACGGCTCCAGAATGCAGCAATCCAGCATATTGTGCCAAAAACCGAGGTCCGGCAGCGTAATTGGCATTACGGGCCCTCGAACTGCAAATCACCCTGCCAGCAAAACCAGGCGCCATCCCACCTATCAAGCAGCGGCCGCCAGGCGCCGGCAGATGGAAACACTCTCAAGCCCGGGACCGTCTCTGAGTGTGCCCAGTCGCCGCCACGTCAAATAAATGGCCGCCGGCGGGGGCGGCAGCGGGGCGGGGGCGAGGACGGGGGGGGGGGACGCGCTGGGCACGCCCGGACGGGCCACGGCACGCCCGGCCCGGGGGTAATCAGCAGGACCACACGGTACCGGCTGCCGGACGGGCTCCGGCACGCAACGGGCAACCAGCCACCGTGAACTTCCACTTCCAAACGCGCTGAAGACGGCGGAAGCCGGCCCACGGGATTAAGGCCGCGGGACAGGGAACTGAATGGAGGCCAGAGTGAAACTGGACACACTGGAGGGATGTCTCGGCGAACGCTACGCCGAAATGATACTCATCCAGGAGCAGCGATAAGTATCTGCTTCAGAAGACAGGCCATATGCCGGGCAAACATGGTATAGTCAAGGCAAAAACCCTCGGAGCTTGTACACGAGGGATCGTTGCAAGGTCGCTTAGGCTTACCCATTCAATGGTACCACGCGCTCATGTTTGCCGCACGCTCATCAAAGTCAAAGTCTTGAGTTGTTTGTGGCTATGATGTCAGACTGTCGCGTGCTCTAGTTCTTGCGTGGTAATCATCATCATGCAAAGTAAATGGCCTATCACCAGGACTTCAAATCGATGTCGAATTATGCACCACGGTTTATAAATGCAGAGGACACTCGACACAGTTATGCGCGCGCGTCAGATGGCGTGCGACATGGTCCTGCCGACACTCCGTGTCACGGCACGTGGCCCTGCCGACACCCCGTGTCACGACAACGGGTCCTGTCGACACCCCGTGTCACGGCACGTGGCCCTGCCGACACCCCGTGTCACGACAACGGGTCCTGTCGACACCCCGTGTCACGGCACGTGGCCCTGCCGACACCCCGTGTCACGACAACGGGTCCTGTCGACACTCCGTGTCACGACACCGGGTCCTGCCGACACCCCGTGTCACGACAACGGGTCCTGTCGACACCCCGTGTCACGGCACGTGGCCCTGCCGACACCCCGTGTCACGACAACGGGTCCTGTCGACACCCCGTGTCACGCGACGTGGTCCTGCCGACACCCCGTGTCACGGCACGTGGCCCTGCCGACACCCCGTGTCACGACAACGGGTCCTGTCGACACCCCGTGTCACGGCACGTGGCCCTGCCGACACCCCGTGTCACGACAACGGGTCCTGTCGACACCCCGTGTCACGCGACGTGGCCCTGCCGACACCCCGTGTCACGACACCTGGTCCTGCCGACAACCCGTGTCACGACACCGGATCCTGTCGACACCCCGTGTCACGACACCGGATCCTGTCGACACCCCGTGTCACGACACCGGGTCCTGCCGACACCCTGCGTCACGGCACGTGGCCCTGCCGGCACCCTAGATCACGGCAAGTGGCCCTGCCGCCATCCCGTGTTACGGCACGTGGTCGGCGCCAGGCCGGGCCAGGTGGCCGTGTTCCCAGCGCCGGCCGGTCGAGCCCGGCAGGAGCCGCTGAGGCACTCGCCGGCCCGCCGGCCATCAGGGCCTGACGAGAGAGAAATCACTCCGGAGCCAGTGAGACACAGGAACGGGATGACCGAAGCCGGCCGACCGGGCAGTCACGCACGGGCGCGCCGGCCCCGTTTTACAGCCATTTTCATTTACAAGGCGAATCCAGGGCCTTTTACCGTCCGCCTATTACGAGCTTTTATGAAACTAAGCCCAGGTACGTTATTTGATATCGTGGAAAAGTGAATGTTCTGATGAGTGCGCCTATATGCACGTGCCTAAATACAGGTCGGTCCGACTCCTCTCTCACTATGGAGACAATGGTCACGCGCATCCAACCACTACAGCAATCACGGCCACTTCCCAATGGCCCCGGACTACCGTGCGACCTGCAGCAGTGCGCGTCAGCGCACACCTACCTTCCTCTGCTCCTTTCCATCCGCCACCTCCTGCTGCTCCTCGGGCCCCTCCGGCCGCGGCTGCTCGACCGGCTCCCGGCCCTCCCCGGGCAGCTGCTCGCGCTCCTGCGACGCCCGCTTCTCCAGCAGCGGCTGGTCCTCCTGCGGCTCCAGCTGCAGCAGCTGACGAGCGTCGGCCGGTGGCCGTGCGTCCGCGGCGCCGGCCTCCGGGACCACCGGCGCGCAGCCCGTCGCCGACACCTGCTCGGCCGCCGGCCGCACCAGCACCAGTGTCTCGGCGCTGGGCGACGGCGGCTCGGCCAGCGCCTCGCCCGCGCCGCTTGACTCGTCCTTCAGCGTCACGTCCGACGACTCGCTCGACATGCTGGTGGTGACATCACTCACGCAAATAGTGACGTCATTCGAGCTGACCGCGCCATCTCCGTCTGTGAGGGAGAAGGTGGCGTCGGCGGCCGCCTCGGCCGCCTCGGCCGTTTCTGTGCGCTGCCGGCTGGGGGGCCCCTGCTCGGGCCTCTCGGGCCTCTCGGTCTCCTGAGCAGGAAGCTTCTCCTGAGCAGGAAGCTCGGGCGCCGACAGCGCCGCCAGCCGCGGAGGCCGTGGCGGCGGCACGGCGCCAGTCCGCCGCGTCGCCGCCGTCGCAGGCTCGCCGAACTCGTCCTCCCAGTCGGGCTCGGTATTGAGGGTGACCGTGATGTTCAGCGCGCCGCCGGAGTCGGACGCCATCCTCACGAGGCGCGCCTCGTCCCCGGCGGGTGAGCCGCGGCCGCGCCGTGCCGCCGCCTGCTCCGCCTCCACAACGAACGTGTGGTTCAGGTCGGCGGGCGAGGGTGGCACAGCGCTCGGGCTGGCAAGCATGTCCAGCGAGCGGCTCAGGTCTTCGGAGCGGAGCATCAGCTGCGTGTCCACCTCCATCTGGTCGGGCGTGAGGATGCCGAACGAGACCTCGTCCAGCTCGATGTCCTGCAGCAGCTCGTCGTCGACGCCGTCGCTGACGTTGCTGGCGACGGTGTCCTCGATGTTGTCCGGGTCCCACCAGAGGTCGGCGGCCGGTGAGGAGAGCGCGCCGGCCGCCGGCACCGCGCCCACCGGCGTCGAGCTGTTTAACGGCAGTGGCAGGTCGTCAGGTCGCCGCGGCCCGGCCGACGTCAGCCGCTCACCCGCGTCGGTCGGCACCGGAGCCGGCGTCGCCGTCGGCACAGGCGGCGAAGGGTCGAACCGCTCCACCATCTCGGCGGGAGCGAACAGGCCGTGGCCGCGCTGGCAGAAGAAGTAGCGTCGGCCGCCGACCGAGCCGTCGTTCTTGCCGATGGGCCGCGCTAGCTCGACGCCCGCCCAGAGGCCGTCGGCGAACATCGTGTGGCCGAGGAAGCGGAGCGTGCCCGGCTCGCCGTCCACCAACACCGAGTCGCCGGGCCTGGCGGCGAGCGGGGCGGCCGGCTCCGGCAGCGGCGGCGGCGGCGGCGGCGCCGGCGGCGGGCTGCGCGGCGCGGCCGGCAGCGCGCCGCTCGGTCGCGGCAGACGGGAGAGGCGAGGCAGCCCGCTGGCGCCAGGCCGAGAGCCGCGCACGGGAATCTGCCGAAGGGCACCGGACAAGGTCAGATGACACCAGCACAGACGCACACACACACACACACACACGATGTGCAAACAGATGGCAATGTGGTTGCTACCGGTAGTACGTAATAATTCACTCTCAGACGCATTTCAAGGAAAGGTTGCCTTTTATAATTACATTCAGCTCAGCTTGGCGTTCGTACCCAGCGCGATCAAGGGACAATCTTATTAGCACGACAAAACGGAAACAACGCTTTCCGGAAATCATAGAAGTGGTACACAGGCAGAAAACCCGCCTAGTCGGTAAGGAATTGGAACGAATGCAGCAGTCGTAGCCAGAGATCAGCGCTCGAAACAGGTCCCTGTCAAAACGGCATTAACGAATTCGGCACCGACACGAAGTTTTAACAAATCGGATTACAGCGGAAAACCAGGACTAAATATAAACCCGAGAAGAAAGCCGTCTTCGGTTTCTTGGGCATTCGTTATTCATGACGCTTCTACCGATCGCTCAGCCACAAGACACCTGAGCATCGATGCGTTATATGCGCAGACTACCACCTCATAGGGTTGGCTTTCCCCCAAAACTGTGATGTCAAAATGACAGGAGGTTTACACAACAATTGATGCACTCGTGAGCCGGCCGAGCGCTTCTAAAAAGCACCTTGCCGTCGGTGTCCGGCCGCACCACGGAACATCCCGCCGTGCCTAAAAACGTCGCGTTCACACGCAGGCAGCATGCCACACGCAGGGGGAAGCGCGTCACGTGAGACCGTCACAGGCCCGCTAGACCACGCCCTCTCCTTGAAGCCATTTGGCAACGCTTCCTGCGTGAGGTCATTGTACTACGCTTGCGTCGAAACACGCAGGCAAGGTGGGATGTAAACCTGTAGAAGGCCAGTGAGTGCAGAACGCTCGTTGTCATTAACAATGATGTTCTTCCATATGTTGGTAATGGCTTCAAGCATTATTTTTTGCGCTGGCTGTCTGGTATAAGGGCCATTGAAATCGGTTTTCAAGGATTCGACTCCACAGGAACATCGCCTTAGTCTAGAAAATACTGAACTGAAGGCCGACTGAAGGAATTCCACGCAAGAGACAGCGCAGGTGGGCATCGCCGGTCAGCGAGCCGGCCGATAGACGAGGAGAGTCGGCTGCCATCGCGGGCCTAGTGGATTCTCCCCGCCTCTTCAGCACTCTCGACGCGATGCAGAGCCCTCCTGTGTTAGCCGAACCCTCACCCCAACCCCCCCCCCCTCTCCCCACGCGGAAGAGCCGCGCTCCGCACCCTCCGCACCTGCCGTCCGTCCAGCAGGCAGAGGAGGACCGGCACGCGGAGGCGCCGCTTCCCTCGGAGACCTCTGGTTGAGGCCAGGGCGGCATCCGGCGGGTGACGTCAGCGGTGCCGCGGCCGTTCCGCGCGGCACGTCACCGTACCCAGCCCCGGCCGAGGTCACGGGGGTGGGCTGACGGCATCGACGGCCCAGCAGCGCCTGGCTGCGTGCTTGCAGCCGACCGGCGCCGCTCTCTGGCTGATATCACGTCCGTCCCGGTATGTTGCGGCCTCCGGTGGCCGCCGACTCCGGTTCTGACGCATCCACTGAGTCTCCGCGTCTACTGGGTGAGCCAGTCTACTTGATACTGTCCAGAGCACTGCATTTTAGTCTTGTCTAAATCAAGGATACTATAAATACAGTCCGATTTCCAGTCAACTGCAAAGTTAAGCAGACCCTGTTGTATGCTCAAATTCTTATGATGTATGTGGCCTCGCACATTATCTGGTTTATAACTTAGTAGGCAAGAAACCTCTCGACCAGCCCGTCTAATTTGTCGCCTAGTCTATTAATGTTTAGTCTATTATTTCCCAGCCAGTCAGGTCGCGTCCATAAGGACCAAGTCTAATCTAGTCTACAGCAGCAGAGGGCAGTGCAGTTTAAATGGTGCCGCCACCGCATCCGTCATACTCTTCCCACGGGCAGCCAGCCCAGCCGGCCGGCACCGTCAGGGAGCCATGGTCGGCGGAGGGGAGGGGGAGGGGGACGGGCAGGTCACGCGTCGTCGACTGCGTGATGACGCCGAACCCGGAGGGGAGGGGACCCGGACAGAGCTGACAGTTGGTAACGGGAACAGCGGGACACAATGAGGGCATGGTGGACGGGCACACCGGTGGGTGGCTCTGGCGAACCGTCAACGGGGAATCAATAACGGAGTTCCAAATAAATGGAAGTTCATGGCCCATGCTGAGCTTGTGCCGATATGGCATGACACGATATGTATTTAGGGGTGACCACAAATTGGATTTGTGAACACCCACGTCAATGTACAACAATACGCGTGTAATTTAAAGGCATCGCGTACAAAGGCAGCGCACTAAGGGACAATACAAGTAAAAAGGAGACACTACACAAATTACAACAATCACCACCTAATTGGCATAAATGTGGTCAGGGTGCCTTTCGTTGTGGCGGCTAAGTTGTTTGACACACAAAGTAAATGTGGGCAAAAAAGGAGCCAACAGCAGGCCGTGCACCAACAACCGGCCAATAATGTTTGTCCCAAGATGTTCCGCAGCTTTTCCATCACGGCCGCTAACGAGTGGGGGATTGGCATCGGTCCCGTGTGAGCGATTCAGACCGCGCCAGGCCCGCTGGTATCCGCTAAACACAACAACACGGCCTGACCGACGCGCGCTCCTCAAATACCGCTGGGGTCTCCCACGGCAACCTCGCCATCCGGCCGTATGACAACACAACCTGACGTGCGGCGGCGCCTCAAGCCATGCCGAGCTTGGCCTGACGCAACGATGGTCCGGCGTCACCACTCGTGACGGCCCCGTGACGGCCCCGCGATGATCCCGTGATGACTCCGTGACGGCCCCGTGATGACCCGTGACAGCCCAGTGGTGACCTGTGACGACCCCGTGGAGGTCCTATGGCAGTCCCGTGACCGGCCCCTAACGGCCCGTGATGACCCCGTGGCGACCCGCGGCCCAGTGGTGACCTGTGACGACCCGTGGAGGTCCTATGACAGTCCCGTGACCGGCCCCTAACGGCCCGTGACGGCCTGTGACTGCCCCGTAACGGCCCGTGACGTCCTGTAACCGTCGCGTGCCTGTGCCATGGTGGTGTAGGGCGATCCCGTGGCGGTCCCATGACGGCTCCGAGACCAGCGTGATGTCCGGCGTGCCCCGGAACTGGGCGACGGTGGCGACCAGCGCGCGCGTCAACTGTGCACTGTGCACCGGTTTTACCTCGGCGAGCAGCTCTGCAAGGCACCGCGGAACCAGGCAATACGGCAGGATAATGCGAGGAAATACGGTGCAGCATGCGAAAAAATTGTCACGTTTGTTGGACGTGATGGTCGCGTATTAATCACGTCGTCAAATGAGGCTCTGCTACCAGGCTCATGGCCGAGTTTGAAAGCATTTTGAAAAAGCTTTAACTCAGAATTTCTCTGTGCACTTATTATGGCGGTTGACCTGCCGAATCCTCGCCGAATCCCTGCCGAATCCCGGACGAATCTCTGTCGAATCCCTGCCGAATCCCGGGCGATCCCGGTATTCAGCTACGACGATTCCGGTACCCAGCTACGACGGTCCCGGGACCCAGCTAGGACGGTCTCGGTACCCAGCTACGACGATCCCGGTACCCGACTAAGACCGTCCCGGTATCAGCTTACGACGATCCCCGTACCAAGTTAGGACGCTCCCCAGTGCTGCCGCCAAGAAACAGCACTATTTTGGATTTCATTACGTTACCCGCCAGATGCAAACATATAATGCTAGGGTCGCAAATGGTTTTGGTAATTCAATTCTGATACTGAAAATCCACGCGAAAAATGCTGACTTTTAGGCACCGCGGCATGACGCGGTAGAAACAAAAACCTTGACATATTCCCAGCTATGCTAATACTTAGCCCAACAGTGAACCGTGGATGGAAGCATATGCAAATTTAAACTTTAGTGCATTCGCGTAACTAGTTCAAAATTCAGCCCGACTTGGAAGTAAATTGGTACTTGATAATTATATTTGATATTTGATACTTGATAATAAGTTGATGACTTGATAAGTTCTAACAAGTTCTGAAAATCCGCATAAAAGCGGACTCCACTTCACATCGCTCGTCTCGACGCCTGTCTCAAAGAGCACCGCGCTCGGGGCACGCCGTCATGATTGAGTGCACACAATGGCAGCAGGTGACCCGGATAGGCGGCGTGGCGTGCCCGGCTGGCGCTGCGCTGTGACCGCAGCAGGCCCTGCGGTGGTCGGGCCGGGCCAAGGCCGCGGCGGCAGCGGCCGCAGGGCGAGTCTCGAGCGCGCCGAATATCACCAGCGGGCAGGTGGGCGCGCCCAGTCAGGCGAAGGCTCACTGCACATCCGTCGCTGAGCTCCCTTCGTCGCGGATGGACATCCTGCACACGCGGGATGAACGAGGTGATCTGAGGTTTTTACACCCTTCTTTAAGCTGGGACAAGATATATATATATATATATATATATATATATATATATATTTGAGAAATGTCGGCCCCAGGAGACGCGTGCCGTCCTTCCTTCCGAGCATACATTGTAGGAATGCTTTGCGCATGCCTGGGCAAAAACAGTGACTAGAAAAAGACATCCATAAAGCCGCATCAAAGTTGGAAGAAATCCGGCACAGTGATGGGCAGTGCTCGTGCAGCGGAGCGCCCCGGCGCCATCGATCACGACAGAGCTGGCGTCCCTCTTCTCGTTGGGCGCCTCCGGTGGTGACCGCCGGCGCCGGAGCGGGCCCTCCGCCGGAGCGCCCCCCCCCCTCCCCCGGAGCGGGCCCTCCCCCGGAGCGGGCCCTCCCCCGGAGCGGGCCCTCCCCCGGAGCGGCCCCTCCCTCGGAGAGGCCCCTCCCCCCCGGAGCGGCCCCTCCCACGGAGCGGCCCCTCCTCCGGACCGGCCCCTCCTCAGGAGCGGCCCCTCCTCCGCAGCGGGCCCTCCCCCAGAGCGGGCCCTCCCCCCCCCGGAGCGGCCCCTCCTCCGGAGTGGG